AGCCAATGTTCGGTGTGAAGACCCCTACTGTTTATTAATTCGCAAGTCGTTTCGAATTGCAATCGTTACTAGTGTTTTACAATTTTCATATTTTTTAATTTATAAACGTTTTATTTTTGTTAACTTTGTCGATATTCTTAGAATTTACGAGTACATATGTACATACATATTCAAAGTATGTATGTAGTTTTCATATACTTTAAATAAATAATTGTGAATTTTTCATTACCTTCATATATATGTACGTATTTTTAGCAAAAGTTGATTGTTTTTCTATTTTTTGTTACAAATGATTGGGGGTAAGAAAACCTAAATTTAGCAGCAGAATGATTTAAACTATTTGTTTCGTGAAAATAGCGCTAGATCTCTTTCGAGTAGCATACAAAATTCGAAAGTGTATGCTCTTTGAAATTTACTTTAATACCGAAAGTATACAATTTCTTAAGCGTTCTTCAAAGCGCGTAACTGTAATTGTTGTCATTAGAAGAAAGTCAAGATTTTTTAAACACAGTCTTCGGCAGGGATCGCACGATTTGTGCATTTCTTCGGATGTGTCCCAGAGTGATGTTGTTTGGAATTTTTTTATTGAGCTGAACTCATTCTCGATGATGCACATTAGGTCAAATGATTCGTTTGGCAGTGCAAAAGTCCAATTTTGTAAACTCAGTTTTACATTATTTTTTGTTGCAAAAAGAAACTGGTGTTGATAATATTTGCGAAAGTTCGAAGGAATTCTTAAAAGAAAAAACGCATCGTATTTTGAAATTATTACTGCGCCGGCCAGTTCTACGGTTGTTGATCGCCCAAGAGCTCAATTTTGCAGCAAAAGTGAGTTTGGAAAAAGAAAAAAAAGGCACCACGTGCAGCAGCAATATCGGCTCGAATAAAAGAAACATGACTGTAGTTTTAAAAGAAAGCTTAACAAGCCTTTGAGGGCAAACATTTAAAATATATTTTTTTCGTTTCTCCAAAATCATATTACTTTTTGTATTAGTTACTTACTCAAGATGGAAAATAAGAAAATAACTTTTGTCAAAAACCAAACCATATTGGACAATATTTTCGAGTACATATTACATAAACACATATATGTATGTACTTATCATTTGAACATAAAAAAAAAAATATTAAGTGGTAAAGTCTGTTTTACGCATGTCAAGACATGTTTTACACATTTTATATACTGACTTTACACTTTCTTTAACATTTGCCATCCTTTTACATTAAAATAAAGCAATATTTTAGCTGATATTAATTTCGCACAGAAAAAGTAATCATTTGACCTAATGTGTAATGTACAAATCATGTGATCCCTGCTTAAGAAGTATAGCAATCTGCCATCAAAATATTATGTTAGGTTCGTTTCATCCATTATTTATATAATAAGGGTGTCTTCGAGTTGCTTAATAATTACTGCAATATTGCAATCTTGTTGCTTTCTTCATGCTCTGTTGCTGAAATGCGGCAGAAATCGCGTAGTTAAAAATATTATGTTGAATTTGATTTTCTCGTGATGGGCAAAATTTAGTACCTCGAACCAGGGACCCAGAATAATAATTATTTCATGGCGGAGTGTTAAAAAAGTCATCAAAATTTATAGAATTAGAAGAATTATAAAAGTCCTTTGATAATAATTATGCATGAGAAATTTTTTTTAAGTCATCAATAACTATTATTTTAAGATTTATATAATTCAAGTCTTGAGATAAATATTTTTAGGTCTTCAAAGGCTCTTATTTTGATACTTATAAAATTTTATTGTTAATAATTATGAGTGCGAAAAATTTGTTTAAGTCTTAAAGGACGGGGCCTGTTCAGGACCATTTCGGGATTATTTCAGGACTAGTTGAAGGCCCGTTCGGGACTATTTGGGAACCAGCTCGGAAACAGTTTTGAACTTGTTGGGGAGTAGTTTAGGAACATTATATATATATAGTCCTGAACTGGCCCCAAACAAAGCCCCAACTAGTCCCGAATCGGTCCCCAGTTACCCCCGAACTGGGCCCCAACTAATCCCTAGGTGGTCCAGAACAAGTCCCGTTTTTTAAGACTTTAAACATTTTTCACACTGATAATTATTATGAAAAGACTTTTATAATATAAGTCTAAAAATAAAAGTCTTTGAAGACTTAAAAATATATATCTCAATGATATTCATTATGAAAAAATTTTATAATATAAATCTCAAAACAAAAGTCTTTAAAGACTTAAAAATATTTATCTGTCTGATAATTATTATGAAAAGACTTTTATAATATAACTCCATGAATAATAATTACAGATGACTTGAAAATTTTGTATCTTAATATAATAACTATTGATTGATTTTTATTCTTTTCTCTATAATAGTTATGTCTCTGCCTCGAAAACAAGATGAAGGCCAAATTTTCGCATAGAACGTGATGCCCTTTCGCAAAAATGTTACACTGCCGCATTTATTGTAGCTCGAATACATGATTCAATAATGAAAGGTTTTGTAAGAAAAACTTTCTCTCGCTCTAATTTTATCAATGACACTCCCACCCTACTCCTAAAAACAAAAACAGTGATATTTCTTTTCCAAATTTCTTTGCAAGTTTTAAGAACATTTTTAAATTGTTAGTAGTGAAATTTTTACTTTTTAAATTTGAAGAAATGTTTGTTCTGCATTCGCTGGCGCCAACAAGACAAAATGGGTGAGAATCGTTGGACTACAGAAATTCAATGTTAAGAGACGAAATTCCCTTAAATGCCGAAATGTATTTGTCGATATTCGTGGAGACCTCTTGATTCTGCCAAGTCGCTGTAAAGTAAAGCGTTCAATGAGCCAACGAAGGTATTTAGGTATTGTACTCCACGACACAATCCTGGTGTCTCCGAATGAGATTTTGACGCAATATAACATTGCCAAACCGCATCCATAGGCCCAATCGTCACACGACAGCTCGGTTTAGTCAATGGCGCGATGTAATTGCACACTTAAAAGGTGTACGCACGAGGCGAATGTTGGCTGGCGACCAACTTTATTGAAAGCGATTAGCTGAAAGTAGAATGCAAAGTTGAACAATACAAACGCCTTTTTATGGCGAATATTTTAATATTTTTTTATATTTTGATATTTTTAGTCATTCAAATTTTTTTTCGTGCAACCCGGCGGGAGTTGAACGCAAAAGTTGCCTGAAAAATCGCCTCGTGCGAAAGCCCCATTACGCCACTTCTCATTTGACGATGTAGATCACGTTCCCTATCTCAGTCGTTCAGTAGCTGCGTGCTCTGAGTTCGTCCGGCACCAATCGCCAACTGCGGCTGTGCAAGCCAGTGTTGAATATTTTCCCCAGAACATAAAAAGTGCGACATCAAAGAATTCGAAACAATCGAGCCATAACCGCGAAAGAAACGTAAGCTCCAAATTTTTTTATTTGCCGTTTTTTTGTTTAATAAATATTGCATATTTTCCGCAAACAAATAGCTTCTTCATGTCCATCAACTGGCAAACAAATACAACAAAAAAAAAGCTGAAAGTGGACCATCCATTCTCGAGTTATGCGCCATCTGACGTACGCAAGTTTGGTATAAACATAGAAATATTTATTTTTAATAACAATAGGGGGTTATATTCGATGTAAATAAGCTTGTTTAAATTAAATAATTAAATCAAATTCGTTTTTGTTTTAAAATACCACCATTCACTATTATCCACACGTTTTTATAGAATTTAGCTCCCATTTTAGGAAGTGTGATTGAATTCTTCCCCTTTTTCTTCTGCTTCCAAAAACCATCCCTGTGGGTGGGAGTGCCAAATTTTAGAAAAAAGCTACTTACAAAACCTTTAATAATTGAATCATGGCTCGAATACACCTTTTTACGTATGTACATTAAACATAACACGGTGGTAGAAAGTCAAGAAAATTGTACGAACTTTTTGAGTGGCCAAGTTTAGGTTAAAAAATGCTTTTGGCAACTTTTTAAAACTTTCTTAACAAATATTTGAAGTTAGTTTTGTGACTTTTTCGGGCACGCTACTAGGTCACTCGAGCAGTGTTAATTTTCACTTTTACACAGTGTCATTAAAAAGGTGTTTTACTCTAAATAAGAGAGTTCGTAAAGAAAAGTGAGAGGTAAGTGCTCTATTTCGTTTACTGTAGTTAGTTTGGCTCGCATATGAAAAATAGAAGTATGTACTATATATTTTATATTCTACAAGCACTCACGCGTTTATTTTCTTTAGTTTTTAACCTTGTTTTGTTTATTAATATTTCCATTGTGATTATTATTTATATTATTTTTTAGTTTCATTACATATATTACTAGGCCCGATATGAACTATTATAACAAGTCATGCTTGCCCGCTTTACACTTACATGTAGATATTTTATTTTCTTCTCTTCTTTCCACTTGCCTAGTTACACACTTTCACTAAATGTACATAAGTATGTATGTACGAACATTATTTATTGCAATAGATTTATATGTGTATTTGCATTTTTACAATTTCATTTAAAATGTGTCTTATAGAGTGGTTTAGCTCAGATTGTTTGTTTCTTCAATAAAGTAATTGTAACTTTTTAGGTTTCTTATTTAATAAGACTTTGTTTTATATGCTCCGGCAACATTGGCTTAACATCTACAGATTCACATACTTATTTTAACTGCGCATCCTTAACTCGTCCGTCTGCCATACAACAACAACCATCTTATCGCACACCCATTCGTATAAATCGACACATTCGTACACCATATCCATAGGCAATCTGGAGAGGAAGTGTCACAATAGCACCTCTCTGCATTGGAGTTATTCAAAAGTAGTTCGTGGAAGAGGAAGTTTGAAATTTCTTTTATTTGTGCATTTTCTTTGCATTGTTGTATTCACCGTCCGTCCTTTTTCGTTGGTTGTCCATTGCTTTTGTTATGTTTTGGGTCGTGTCCATTCGAAAGTGTCTTAATATTCTCCTGCATTCGGTGGCAATCTTGTTAGCGTTCTACGTTCTTTGATATGAATGTATGTGTGCTTTTTAGCTTTTGGTTTTGGTTTTTTTTTCATTCAGTTTCACATTCTCCACCCACCCAACATTATCAGATTTTTCCTCAAACGTTTACACCACTTAACGATTTTGTTTGCAGTGATGCTCTTCGTCCTCTTCCCTCTCTTCATTTGTCGTCGTCGGTATTGGGGTGCCTCATGGATGATTGCCGACATTTCTTTATTATCTCTTGCTCTCCTTTTCCTGTTGGTATACGCGCTGGCTAAGTGGCTTTGTGTAGATCCAGTTATCACCAACCGGTCGGAAATGCTGTTAACCAGAAATAAGACGAAAAGGATATTGATAATGTTTGATAATTTTTTTATATGGAAAAAATGTGCGAAACATTCAACAAAAAAATTTCCCAAAAATCAATGGTAAGTCCTAGCTTCCTCATACTTGCACTTTATTATACTAAAATTGAATGGGCTAAAGAACTGCATACTCAAATTTTTTCTAGAGAGCGTAAATAAAAAATGCAATATTTGAATGAAATTTTGCAGAATTTTCCTTAATTTTGCACAAGGTTTGGAACTTTTCTTTTTGGGGTTTTTGTTGTAGAATTAACCATATTTTTATAAAAAATTTGCGAAAAATAAAATATTTAAAAAATAGTTGCCCGTATTGTAAAAAATTCGCTGTACCTAAACTTTATTGACTGACTGTAGTCGTCGTACGCTCGTTTTTGAGTTCATTTTGCTTGGTTTACAATCGAATGTTACTATTCGAATGGTTGCCGCACTCGATTATTCGAATAATCGATCATTGAGTTTCAAGAGCCCTACTCTTTAGCTGGATGTTTGAAATACAGCTCGTTTTTATAAAAACGTCTAGTTAGCAATATGAAACGATTGTGGGAGAGTTTAGATTTTTCTTTTATTTTAGTTTGAATATCAACTATTTTTTGCGATCTGTTTTCTTTCAAGAACTCCGGAAAATAATAGTAATGAAATGCTATTGTCCTTACCTTGTGCTCCCACTGTATCTCTGTCTCTTTCCTGTTCTTCGCTTGGTCACGTTGAATTTGTTCCACTGCGCATTTGGCGTTTGTGGCTTTTTCGATGTCGTTAAATCTATTCGCACAAAAAAAAAAAAAAAACGGATTAATACAAAGATAGTAGAGAGAAATATAAAATTCATAAAAAATAAATTTAAATATAGTAAGAAAGTTTTGTTTTACTTGAGTCCCGCTGTCACCTCCTTCCACACACGCCTGGATTCGTATTCTTCTTGTTCAACGATTGGTCGAACTTGTTTCTTAAATATTGGAATACGATTTACGTCTACGAATACTTCAGTTTTCTAGAAAATTAAAAATTACACAATTTTCACATTTCAGTTTCGCACTGTGAATTGGAATTTCGTTTTGCACATAACACATCTTACACAAACATACATACATATGTACACATTGGTATATATATATATAGAATATAGAATTTCTGTTAATTTCAATTAAAGTAAGTAAAAAAACAACAGTTATGTAGTGTCTAATGAAATATAAAACATCAAGGCAATAAAGAAAGAGCGTACAAAAAATCGCAAGAAATTTAATTTTCTAGATGAACAAAGTAGGAATAGCAACTGGCTCAAAATATTTAAGAGAGAAGTACAAGAATCGTTTATGTGTCGTTTTGTTTTGTTTTGTTTAGGGGTGGACGGAGTGGTTTGTTGAGAGCAAATTGAAGGATACTGTTAGCAGAAAGTTATTGGAACTGATTTACAAACATATAGAGAAAAATTGAGGTGTTGTTAGGAAACATACATATAGCTATATAAGATTTAAGTCCGCAGTTATAGAAAAAATTAAGAAAAATCCGATTGCAAAGTAAAATCTGCCTTTTTAAAAACATGTTCTATAACCACGGACCTTTTGTGTTTTTATAAAAATTCACAAGCATACTGCAACATCAAAAACACAAACAAGCGGTTGTACACAGTTCTAAAGCGGGGAACATTACATTTTTATCATGCCATTTGGCTTCCATAAGACCGCTCCATTCTCCAGCTATTGACACGAATGGCTTCTTCTCATTGGGTGCATATATCTAAATCAAATAGAACAGATATACTAAATGTCAATACGTAAAGTTAACTTAGCTGTTTATAGCACACACCTCTGCAGTCACTTTATTCCGCTTGCCGCCATAAAATGGCTTTGTTAAGAATTCAATTGTAGCATGATATCCTGTCTGCGGGCAACGTATTTCCACAGTGCCACCCAATTCGATCCATGGGACGGTTAAAATAGATCTAAGAAAAAGGGGAAGGGGGAACGAGTCGCCAATGAGCTGCCACAATTTTCCAATTATGTGCAAGACTTTTTTACCTGCCATATCCATTTGGAAACGTTACTATATACTCCTCACTATGGTCTACCAGTGTAACAATACCTTCGCCGATGTTATGCACTCCGATGGAAAGGCCAAGAAATTTCGATTTGGTCCAAACATGCGCGGAGAAAGTAATTTTCTTATTAACATGTTCAGCATAAAAGGCGGAAACTGTAAATGTGGAGCAATAAAATATCGTCACGAATGCTGTTGTAATGCTAAAATCAATCTTTACTCACTTGGCGGATGATGTGAAACCTGTTCCGCCAAGAACGTCAGTTGATTGCGATGACACCAGGGCACCGGCCCGTCACTAACTGCAGTCTCGTCGGGTACTTCACCTGAAACGATTGGAAAACTAATTAGTTTTTAGCCATAAAGGAGAAACAAAGAAGATAATAAGTATGTGTTAATCGAAATTTTAGTCTAAATAACTTCTCAAGGAACAAATAATAATTTAGGAGCCGAGATAAATATAAGTACTACCTAGCTCGGTTGGCAGGTCATCGCCACATTTGAATTGTAGTTAGGATGTAAGCATTTAATATGAAAAATATACTTCCATACGAATATGAGAACATCTCACCTGGTATATCCCAATAGCATTGAAAAACTTCACCCAATATGGGATTGTAAGGTTTTTTGGCGACAGCACTTTTTCGACCAGCGTGATAGGCACTCAAATACCAGCGACAAGTCTCAACAATACGATCACGAGGTGTTTCCATCTCGGCAATTCTGCAAATGCAAAAAAAGTTTGTTTATTATATATATATTTTTTTGATTACGATCTACTACGAATAGTATCTATACCTTAGGAATAGATCCGGATGTGCAAAGTAATCGGCGTACATCTCTAGCAATGAGCGTCGTTCCAAAATGAATGTGGGCAATACGACTTTGGTCAAGTCCATGCCAATCTTCACTTGGGATATGAGATGGGAAATCATCGAACCGTGCGCTTCCATACTGATTGTACAGTCCTCCTCCTCCTCGTACAGCGCATCGTAATCGATGGAGCCTTCCTCACCGTAATTTTGGAATGTTGCATCGCCACTTCGTCGTGGCGCAGATGCTGCAGCAGTTGTTGATGAACCGGTTGGTAAGCTTTCCGAAACAGTAGACAGTGCTGTCTGGTAATCATCTAGTCGATCGACGATCGATGATTTTGCACTCATGTCCGCCGAGGCACTACCCTTCGGTGGAAATGTGTCCGGTGCATTTTCGTTTGTAGGCGATGACGTTTCCACTGAGAAGCTACGTGTGGCACTATACACAAATATAAATGTAAAGAGGAACTAATGACGAACTAATAAAAATAATAATTGTAAGGTTGGGCATATTATAATAAAAAAAATCATCACCCCCAACAAACTCCCATCAATTATACCAACACGAATTTGCGGTCTCTTACATACTATTTGGATTAAAGACATCAATTTTTGTCGGCCCCATTGTACATAGTGCAAGTGTGTTAATAGCCCATCTAGTGCAAATCCTTCATCCTTTTTAGGTCCCCCATTTAGTTTATTCTTCGATTTCGAGAATAAAGACTTCAAACCCCATTCGATTGATACCCATATTTTAATAATTTATTTAATTACATCCCTATTGCGAGTGTCGACTAGTAGTAGATAAACGACTATTATTCGATTATCGCCTTTTCATGGTATTGTGAATGTCGATTTCTCGTTGAATAAGCGACTATGAATAGTTTTTAGTCGCTCATCCTTCTGCAGCTGTTTATTTGTAGAAGGCTGGGCGCCTATAATTTATTTACACTGATTTATTGAACGAGAAAACGACGTTCAAAATACCATGGAGAAGCGATAATCGAATAATAGTCGTTTATCTACTACCAGTCAACACTCGCAATTGGGGTGTTATGAAATAATTTGAATTAAATTTTTCAACAGGTGGCAACTCTTTTCGAAAAACTAAAACCAGTTTGCACATCTACAGACCACGCGCTTTAATTTGACATCTCATTTTTGAAAATCGGCAAAAATATATTGCTTTCCCCCATAAGGAAAACATATCCAAATGTTTAAAACGTTTTTTACTCGAATTCAGGTTTCTCGACTTAGGCGGTTATTGCTTATGACCACAGATATATAGATAAGTAAGCTGCCAACAGCGATATTACTTTGCAGGTGAAAGTGACAGAAATCTCCCTTGAGGTGTTCCTTTTACCGCAAATTTCTTAGTGGAGGCGTCGTTTCTGCAGCGGTGAGGTAACTGCTTCTGGGCTAATGCTACTGAAGGCGCTTTCTATGAATAGGAAGACAGCTAAATATTACTATGTGTGTGTCGCCCCATGTTCGCGATAAAGCTGTGCAGATATGGAATCCACAAATGCGCCTTTGTTGTAGGCATGTGGGGCAGCCGAAGATTCGGACACACTTCTTTCCATACATATGTAGGTGTCCAATATGCGAACTCGTGCGGCTTTCTTCGTTTTGGAATTTTTGGCATATATATAACACATCCGGCTATTAAAACAAATTTCAGTTTAGCGACTTTCAAGAAATTATAGACTGTGGCACATTCGTCCTTAGGTTGAAATACCTTTCATGATTTTTTTTTTTGGTTTTGGAATACAAAAATGTCGCCTTTAGGGACAACATCCCAACGGAAACCTTTAGAGAACAAACGTTGAAAGAAGCACAATTTTTTGGTAAGTAACTCTTTACCATTTCGGAGGGCAGCGCTGCTCGTTGGTCCCTAAAGGGTTAACAGTTGTTGATATAAAAAAAATCATAAAACCTTAAAATCAATTCATTGTGGAATTCCCCTTTAAATTGAGATATCGACCCCAATTCAGGTCGAGCACTTTCACGGTGACATTTAATATTCATGAAAATGTGAAACGATAAAAAGGAACTGCCGATTTATGTCACTATAAGCATCGCTTAAATCCAACAAAAAATAAAAATAGTGAAGGACGAGAACAAAAGCACGTATCCAAATGCAAAAGTAAATATTCCCACACACACACAGAGATTTGTGGCGTCGTGAATTGGAAGCCCCGCACGTACCTGAAGCTGACACGTCGCACCCATTTCTTGAACATCTCTTGGCGAAACGGCGACCGACTTGTGCGTGTGTAAATATTTGAGAAGTAAATCAAGAAGCTTTAGATGCCTCAACAGACTGGCTAACCGACCGACTGAGCGACAGCTGACTGCCGCTGGATGGGCTTAAGTGTCGTGTCAAATGCGAGCACAGGCGGCAGGGCGACAATGCCGTCGAGATTCCTTGGAATGCGTTTACGAGCAATTTATCGCAAAAAAACTTGCCTGCGGTGCGTGTGTGAACGGCGTCACGCATGCAAGTACTTGTCACGGCTGCGGTGTGGTGGCGGCTAAGGACGAGCAGTGTGGGCGTGTGCGTGTTTGTCCAGCATAATACGACTCGCAGTGTGTCCGAGTGTGTGCGTGTTTGTATGTGAATGCGTAGTGCTGCGATTTTTTTCTTAATAAATTCCGAGTCCAGCGGCGCGAATCAGTGTCGACCGGCAGGGCACTTAGCAAACGACCAAATGACACTGAGCACTGAAAATGTTTTGCATTGCATAATTTTAGGCGCCCGAACCTTTTCGCTCAATTAAATTTATTGCTTATTCAAGTAATAATGTGCATACCAAGTAGTACTATATATACGAGTACAATAAAAATATTCGAGTCAGCGCACACAAACAACAAACGGAAACATATCTATGCCGTTATGATACTGCGACGAGCAGCGCAGAGGGGCCAGCACTGTTCAGCAACGTCATCTGCGACAGATGCGTCATTTTAAGTTGAACACATGCCAAATTTCGCCGAAATCAGTCGGTATATAGTCGGTGCATATACATATAGTATACGCTGTGCAATTCGAATTTTACGGTTTTGTTGTACCCGTATTTCGCTTTAAACATACACACACACTAAAAAGAGCCAATTTAGGAAAACCTTCGCCTTTTGTTACGATTAGACGCATCAAAATGGAATCACTGTGTTAGGCTGAGAAAATGCACTAGTATTGAAAAACGGAAACAATCTAATCTATTCTAGATTTGCATTAAAATATTTTGAGTCGATTTTAAAAGCAAAATATGTAATTTGCGTTCGTTGTTTAAATTTTATTAAAGTAAATAGTCGGAACTTGAGCACAGCCGAGGCACTACTGACTGTCGTTTGGAATAGTTGAATCGAGTTGAGTTGGTGAGATTGTCTAAGGCAGAAAGGGTTTAGTAAACAATGAAGTTTGTATAATTTTAGGAGCCCAAAGAGAACAGAGAAGAGAAAGAACAGAGAGAAAAAGAAAAATCTTAAGAGAGAAGCATATTTGGGAATGATGAGAACGATAGAAGTACATAAACAAAAGGGTCGGTAACAACAAAAGGAAAATAAAATTGAAAACTTCTACGAAAATCCTTAGGAAATTAAGTTAAATTCATAAATCAACTTTCAACATAAATATTCATAAAACCGCTTTCTACATGACTTCGCGAATTAAACAATCGATGAAAATCTGATTAAGTGATGAAGTTTGACATTTTTAATCTACATAACGACGCCTCTAAACCATACCATGCTAAGTCACCTTAGACTTAGTCAGACTTAGCATAGTATGGTTTGGAGGCGTCGATATGTACAAGTATGTAGGGGCAAATCCATTGTGAAGTAATAGGAAAGAGAAGAAAAATTTGACACTAATGAAGTTCATTTGGAAATAATTGGATATTTTTAAATCGAATTAAATTATAAAAAATGACGGAAGATTGAGATTTCTCAAAAAAGGTATAAAACTATGTTCATTTTACAGCGTATACTTAGCTTCTTTGAACAGTTGTATAAATTACTCGAACAAAGCTACAACCATTGTACGGTCGTGCATTTTTTATTTTGAAGCTTCAATTTCGGTTTAAAAAAAAATGGCAATGAATGCTCTAGCATGCATACGTAATTTCAGCATCTCGTGATCATCACAGATCTTTTATTTTTGTAATCTTAAAAAAAAAAATCTTCCGACGAGGAATTACACTTCGTCCAAACCCCTTAGTAATATTTTTTTTTTTATTTGCGAACGAAAATCAAAAAAAACAATTAATCAAGAGAGAATTAGTCCTTTTTGTGTTGTGAGAGAATAAACGTTTTAAAGCGCATGTCAGTAGAAGGATGCATTGGGGAAGCAAGCAAAGACAAGTCTCTATTAGATATACTTATAATGGATACGCGTGTAAGTGTGCACACAAATGCAATATTGGCAAGGATTTTGAACAGAATAGAATAAGAAACAAATCATTAATTTTGTGTTTAAATACAGCGACACGGATAAATAAAAAATAAAAGCACAAAAGCAACAAGCAAAAACATAACATATGAATCTTTGTGGTTTTTGCTAACTGCACATAGTATACATATT